TCCAAGGTACTTGAAATGGTCCACTTCATCAATCTTAATACCGTCCGGAAGTAACCTTGATGCTCCGGTAATTTTCATTTTTTGGCACTTACTTGTAATCCCACCCCCACAAAAGTGTTGCCCACCCTTTCGGTGTTGCCAGTAGGTCATTTCCTGAGCAGCTCAACAGCAAAATGTCATCACTTTGTCAAGTTCAGTCAGGAATACCGCGGAATATCTCGAGCTGCGCCGTTGACTGACTATCCGGCGATCTTGAAACTTGCTATGATGTTTCTTCGCATCACGCAATCCATTTCCTGGGCTTTCTCAGCATCCGCAATGCCGAAATTGATCATCTTATTTTGGCAGAGTATGAACGGTTACTGTAGTGGCTCAGTGCTTCGTTGAATGCACAGAGTCACATGAGCAGCTTCATAATTAAGGGTCAACCACAGAGGACATATTGTAATGCTCATTCCTCAAACTGACATACTTGAATCATCAGCAAAGCTGGTCATTCAACACCTTGAAGCAGCCGAATTCACGGCATTCATGTATTGTCCGGAAACAGTTGCAATCTTGAGACCTAACAATACACTTCTCGACATTGTCCAACAGTCCAACATCTGTGACGTCTCCTCGAACAAGTTATGCGATGAATAACATTACGTAATGAACAAACAGATGCGTCTGATCAATGACTCAAGAAAACTGCCAGAAAACTGCTCAGAGATCGACGTCTGACGTCATTGACGAAACTACCCAAAAAAACAGTGCAAATGTGTTCTAATCATCCTTTGGTCACAACCGTGATGTGCTAGAAAACGATTCAAACTCTGTAAATATCGAGTGCCCGTTACTTTGAGTCAAATCTGCATGCAATGGATCGTATGACTTTGGCTGAAACAACACAGTCCGTTTAACTTTGATTAGTGATAAAACTTCGAATGGTCAGACATCATCAGTCTGTGCTGATTCGCTGCTCAAACTTTGTTGAAGTTAGCTGAGGAGGACGAAAAAACAATGACTGCTAATTGGACACAATTTTTAGAAAAGCCGCGGCGTTTTCGAGAAACGGTATCACGTATGATCCAAAGGTGCCATGGCTCTTCGTAATACAGAAGAAGCGTTGAAATAAGTTGGCCACAATGCCAGGTCGTTGTGGATCATTTGACTGATTACGTGCAATTTTTCACCAGTACCAAACCATCCTTTGATGCAGAGGGTTGCAAGGCTAAGAACAAGCTGCAACAATTGCTCCAAGCCGTGCTTAGGATACAACAGGATACAACCATCGTTGACAAGGCTGATGAAACAGTCGGACGACTCCCGGCGGACGATGGCTGCCTGAAAAGGAATGTCAGCACCGTATGCGTCCGCTGGATGATCAAAACCTGAAAATCCAGCATGGTGACTTTGTTCAAACAGCAGAATCATACGCCTCCTCACTCTGAGCAGAAGATTGTACCTGCAGCGTAGTGCATGAGTCAAAGTCAACAGAGACGTTTATCGATTTTGCGGCGATGTAGTACAAAAAGTGCAAGAACACATGCTATGCGCAGTT